TTATTTTGGTATGGCAGAGAAAAACTTTAAACGTTGTGTGCCTCCATGCCCTCGCTTTATTGCGGCTGGTGACTCACATGATTTGTGTTTAGAGTGTTTGGGAGAAGAGCATGCCCTGGCAGCATTTGAGAATGCTGACTGTGGACACTGTGACGTCCTCTCCCGTAAAGAGCTGCGTAGTCGGAGAGAGTTCTTTAATAAAGCTCCCGTGGCGCACGCTCCTCGCGGTTCGGGTCCCGCTCGTGCTGAGGCTGAGCGTCGACTTCGGTCGTGGGGTTCGCAGCTAGATCTGGCGGATGAGATGGAGACGGACTCTGTCCTTTCTCTCTCTGGATCCGTGAGATCTAATCCTCCTTCGGGAGCGTCAGAAGCACGCTCTGCGGTTTCTTCTGCGCCTCGTGGGAGGGCGGTGTCCTCCGTTTCCGAGGAAACCGAGGCGCCGCAGCAACAAATACAAAGAGGGTCGGGGAATCTGCCGCCCCAGTCAGTGGATTATGAGGAGTTAGTGGAGGTGATTTCACGTGCTGCTGACAGGTTCGAAGTAATAGATTGGCAGTCAGCACGTGAGCAGCAGCAGCTGCGTCTGACAGGAATGCTGGATGAGAGAGAATTACCCAGCAGAGTAGATCCTCCACTAAGGGACCTCCCCTTTTGTCCCAAGCTACATGATGCGGTTTCTAAATCATGGGAAAATCCGTATTCAGCATGGTTAATGACACCAAAAACAGCTATTTATTCAGCAGTTCGTGGGCTAGGGGAAAAGGCATGTACAGTAATGCCAATGATAGAAGAGGACTTAGCACGTCATCGTCGTTCAGATCTAAAATCTGCAAGGGTCCCTCCTTTGTTGTCGAGACCATTAAGAGTAACATCGGGTCTAGTCAGTAAAGCATATATGACGGCTGGTCAGTCTGTTGGATGCCTGCACACCATGTCAGTGCTGCAGGCATATCAGGCTGACCTAATTAAAGAGTGCCTAGATGGTGGGGGAGCAACACCCGAACAGCTTCAAGAAGCTCTTCGGGCGTCAGATCTAGCTTTAAGAGCTACTAAAGAGGCAGCCTCTAGTTTGGGGCGATCTATGGCTACCCTGGTGGCTACTGAGCGGCACCTCTGGCTGACACAAGCAGAAGTGTCAGAAACCGATAGAGCTATTCTTATGGACGCTCCAATATCGAGCTCAGGGCTCTTCGGTGACGCCGTCGATCGCGTCACCGAATCCCTCGACAGAGTTAAAAAACGCTCTAGCTCCCTCGGGGACTTTCTCCCCCCAAGATCAAAAAGTCAGGGGGCTTTTAAAAGACAGTCCCAGCCGTCAACCAGCTCCTCATATCATGAAGTACAAAGGATAAAACAAAGTCCTGACGTGTTGGGAGTCAGGCTTTCCAGGGCCCCCCTGGACACCGAGAGCACCATTCAGCGCTCTCACTGAACCAGGGTCCATGGAGAAAGGGAGAGGCCACCTCACCACTTATGTTGGTGGGGGGCTCTGTGTCTCCCGGGGTGGGCGTTCCTCAGTGTCTGAGGGCAGGGGGGTCAAAAGAACAACCAGAGGCCAGTCTCGAGAGGCTGGTACCCCTAGCACATTTTTTGGCAGCGTGGAAACACCTGCCGATGGTGTCCCAGTGGGTCCTGTTCACAGTAGAACATGGCTACAAAATACAGTTTTGTGCACGCCCACCTCGCTTCAACGGTATTGCACCCACCATAGTGAAGCCAGAACAGGCTCTGGTTATGGAACAGGAAGTACTGGCCTTATTAATAAAAGGCGCAATAGAGCGTGTTCTCCCACTCGACAGAGAGTCAGGGTTTTACAGCCGGTATTTTATAGTTCCCAAAAAGGATGGGGGATTGCGTCCCATATTAGATCTGAGAAATCTAAATCGGTCCGTCGGGGCCCTCAGGTTCTGGATGTTAACCATCAAAAACGTGGTGTCACAAATTCAGTCCGAAGACTGGTTTGTGACGATAGACCTGAAAGACGCATACTTCCATATTTCCATCCTTCCCCGACACAGGAAATACCTGAGGTTCGCTTGCGGGGGCGAAGCGTTCCAGTATCGGGTTCTTCCATTCGGCCTAGCTCTGTCACCTCGAACCTTTACCGAAATAGTCGAAGCCGCACTAGCTCCACTTCGTATGCAGGGGATACGTATCCTAAACTACATAGACGATTGGCTAATTCCAGCTCAGACTCCAGAAGTGTGCTTGTTCCAGCCAGGACGACCATTTCTTTAGGTGTGCTATGGGACTCCATGACGATGCGAGCACGTCTGTCCCCGCCATGAATCGCTTCGATTCAGTCAACCGTACACAGAGTCAAACTAGGCCAGTTCATCACTGTGAAACACTTTCAGAGGTTGTTGGGTCTCATGGCAGCAGCAGCCAGCGTGATTCCGTTCGGTCTGCTGTACATGAGACCCCTGCAGTGGTGGCTCAAATCCAGGGGGTTTTCCCTCGAGGGGAATCCTTTCCGCATGATCAAGGTCTCGCGGCGCTGCCTTCGAGCCTTAAGTATGTGGAAAATGCCCTGGTTCCTGTCCCAGGGCCTAGTGTTGGGGGCTGTCTGTCATCGCGTCATGCTTATGACAGATGCTTCTCTAACGGGCTGGGGAGTAACCCTGAGGGGGCTTCCCGCAGCGGGACGATGGGGAGAACATCATCGTTACTGGCACATAAACTGCCTGGAGATGATGGCCGTGTTTCTGGCCTTAAAACACTTTCTCCAGATCTAAGGGGCCATCATGTTTTAGTCTGCACGAACAACACATTGGTGGTCGCTTACATCAACCAGCAGGGGGGTCTGAAGTCTCGAATGCTATGCAAACTAGCACATCGGATCCTCCTGTGGGCCCAGAACAAAATCCTGTCCATCAGGGCAATGTATGTCCCGGGCCATCTGAACATGGGAGCAGATCTCCTGTCGAGGCAGCGGGTGAGATCAAGGGAATGGAAACTTCTTCACCCCGAGGTAGTGGAGTCCATTTGGGAAAGATTAGGGAAAGCGCAGGTAGACCTGTTTGCTTCCCAAGAGACCACGCATTGCGTACTATGGTTTTCTCTCTCGCATCCAGCCCCTCTGGGACTGGTTGCCATGGTTCAGACATAGCCGAGGCTACGTCTGTATGCTTTTCCCCCGATCGCTCTGCTCCCAGGAGTCCTGGAGAGGGTCCGTCAAGACTGAGTACAGTTACTGCTGGTAGCCCCGGTTTGGCCTACCAGGATTTGGTTTTCGGACCTCATAGCCCTGCTGGCGGGTCTCTCGTGGGAGATCCCCATCAGCAGGGACCTTCTGTCCCAGGCGGGAGGAATGATACTTCATCCCCTACCCGACCTGTGGAAACTGTGGGTGTGGCCTCTGAGGGGGCCCACCTCATAGAGTATGGACTGTCAACCGAGGTTGCTCAGACCATTCTAAGCTCCAGGGCTCCCTCCACAAGGAAGCTTTATGCCCTAAAATGGGCTCTCTTTTCAGCTTGGTGCAGAGAACACCAGCTGAACCCAGTCAGCTGCCAGGTAGGCTCAGTGCTGGAATTTCTCCAAGATCGCCTGTCTGCTGGGTTAGCTGCATCCACTCTAAGAGTGTACGTGTCAGCTATAGCGGCCTACCGTTCTCCCCTAGATGATGAGTCACTAGGACAGGATCCGCTAATTCGTCGCTTCCTTCGTGGAGCCATAAGGCTAAGGCCTGTCAGCACACACAGGGTACCGACATGGGATTTAACATTGGTGCTCGAGGGCATCTCTGTTCCCCCATTTGAGCCACTGCAGGAGGCGTCAGATAAGTTTCTGACACTAAAAACAGCTTTCTTATTAGCTATTTCTTCCTTGAAAAGGGTTGGTGACCTCCAGGCTTTGTCGGTTGCACCTTCATTTCTGGAGTTTGCTCCAGGCATGTCCAAAGCCTTTCTTTATCCCAGACCGGGGTACGTGCCTAAGGTGCCCACTCATGTGGCGAGACCTGCTGTGCTACAGGCCTTTCACCCGCCCCCATTTCAGTCGTCGGACCAAGAGAAGTTAAACTTACTCTGCCCAGTTAGAGCTCTGAATACATATGTTAACCGGGTTATCAACTGGAGAAAGAGTGAACAGTTACTGGTCTGCTTCGGACCCTCAAAAAGGGGGAGTCCGGCAAATACGCAGACAATAAGTAATTGGATAGTTGAGACTATCTCATTTACCTATCAGGCTGCTGGACGCCCTGCACCTAAAGTTGTTAAGGCCCACTCCACAAGGGCTGTCGGGGCCTCCAAAGCTTCTATTTCGGGCTCAGCCCTTTCTGACATTTGTTTGGCGGCAGGATGGTCGACTCCACATACATTTGTGCGTCACTATCAACTCGATGTAGACCCCTCACCAGGGTCCTCTATTCTCACTGCGTAGTGTGCGTTCACAGTCAGCAGTGAGTCTGGCCTAGTGGGTATTGCGTTCCCCTAGCGTTCTGGTTAGACACAGTGTTGAAGTTCCCTATAAGGGGAACGTCTCGGGTTACGTATGTAACCATAGTTCCCCGAGAGGGAACGAGACACTGCGTATTCCGCCATACTCTCTTCTGCCTGTTACTTCTTTCAAGCAAATTCGAAGTTGATACTGAATGCTCAGTACAGGCTTTTATACTCTCTGGTCTGACGACACCAGCTTAATTACATTAGATTGATTTCACATGTGCTTCAAGACGCGTATAAAAGAGGTGTTCCCCTAGCGTTCTGGTTAGACGCAGTGTCTCGTTCCCTCTCGGGGAACTATGGTTACATACGTAACCCGAGACGGTTTCGCTGTTTGATGTTGCAAGCTGATATTTCCTTATTATATTATTCTACTTAGTCTATATAGTCATGCAAACATTTGTTTGTAGAGCAAGTAGTTTGACTGTTTTCTGCCGTTTATTATTCCTAGTCATTTCTCGCATAGGCGACTGAATCAAAAGTTCTAAAATAATCACAAAAACTGGCGCACTTCTGAGTGAGGTCAATTTTAGAGTGAGGTCAATATCACACATATTCAGATAAGATTTTAATTTATTGATTTACTCTGCAATATAACATACATCTCAATTTCAATATGCTCTGCTGGAGAAGGCCTCTGAATTAAAGTTCATCTATTTATTTTATTCAATATCATTTCAGTCTAATTAAAAGGATCAGACATCAACAATCAGGACACATGCAGTGATACAATCACACACATTATGTCTCACACATACACTGTAATAGCACACACACACTCACCCTTGCACACTTAGTTTGAATATTGTGCTTTACAGCAATCTTTTAAAGTCCCTTTCTTTTAGTTTCAAAACCTGATAGCAGGAAGAACACAGGAGACCTAACAGCATATAAACACATACAAACAATCACACACCCACATACGAACCTATACACACTCTCACACACTGACAGAAGAGGTGTTCAAAAGTCACAATGACTGTGAAAACATTTGAAACAGCATGCTCTTAGGATTTGATAGAGTTCTGAAAGTGGCAACTATTTTTACATAGCACACACATTTAAAGACATCAAAGTTCTGAAACATCTAGGACTGAGTTTAGTGCTCTGAGCACAATTAACAACTAATTCAATACGACAGCTTATGATTCTTAAAGGTGAAGTGTGTCATTCTGCTGCACATAATGGAACCAGAATTGAAAATATAAATGAATTGATTCAACAGTAAATTTGAGTAGTGTTTTCTATTTACCACAGTCTGCTTCAATGCAGTTGCCTGATGATTGTAGCTTAATTAATACTTTGCTTTAAATCTAAGTTGGTAATGAATTGATTTGTCTCATAGCTTGTTGGTTTGGTTAAAGGCTTACAACTCTTTAACAAAGACTTTCTAAGAGAGGTGACTCTGAAGAAACATAGGCCATTGAAAAGTGATCAGGCAAGGATCCGCTCTATGGTCATTTATTTTAGCAAGCAGTGGGTTTTACAAATGTTCTTAAAGGTGACATTAGATTAAACCTTCATGTTTTAAAAATTTTCTGTGTTTAGGATTCAGCTAGGTCTGCCAGCTCAGACAAGTTGAAAAGAAAACACACAGCTTGTTCATTATTCAGTGAATGAATTTATGTGAAATTAATTGACCTGTTTGAATCCTGTGTTTATAAGTAACCAGATACTTCCGTGCCTTCTTCCAAACAAGCTATGGACTTCGTCCTCCTCCCACCTCTTTTTGTAAAATGATAACAAAGTTTCTAACAATGATGCCTTGCTTTTTTCTCATTTGAACAATAAAGTGATCCTGGCATGCAGTCTGCTCAGCGTGTTCAGATGTTAAGTCTCACATGTGTTATTACACATAATCTCAGCTTTAGAAGAGGAAACAGCTAGATGAATTAGCTTTAAATATAAAGGTAATGTCCTAAAAATGGGGGTAAAAACTTGCTTGTGTGTGCAAAACAACTAACGCTAAACTAAAAGGACAATTGACGCTAAACTCATATAAAAATTGCATTTAAAGGATGTAGTTGTACCTACAATTTGTCTAAAAGATATGTAAGCATTTTTTATATACAGTGCTCAGTATAAGTTAGTACACCTGATTTTGAAAATGAGTATTTCTATCCATTTCTCAGTGAATCTAGGCAATGTATTTTAGTGCATTTAAACTAAACAGGTTTATTAAACTGATATGTTTATAAAATAATATTTTAGTCACCAAACATATTTAGTTATTGAAAGATAAAACAATTCAAGCTAAAAATAGCAAAAAATTACAATCTACAAAAACTACATTCTTCAACTTTTTCTATAACATAAGTTTGGGTGTACTAGTTTTTGAACCGTTATTGTAAGTTATTTTGTTAGATAAGCTCCAGATTTGGCTTTAGTACTGACTAATCTAATGTATATGAACAAATAAAATATTGTTGAGCTTCCTATTAAAAATATGAATTCAAAAGATAGATTCGTGGGGGGTGTACTTATAAATGCTGATTACTGTATATCATTTGAATTAGTTTAGTTTGGTTACGCCAGTTTAAGTTCACTTATGTTTAGAATCAGATCATCATCTTTCATGTTCACAGCATTGTTTGTCAGTGTGGTGTTGTTGATTTACACAAATGAATAACATTTGTTAAATACTGAAGTTTCACTTTTATTATGTATAGATGTTTGTTTATGTTACATCACATTTAGTCATCATATTGTGAAAACAGATTTTAATACTTTGTTTGTCAGAAATACAGACAAAAGTCAGCAGTTGCTCGAGTTTTAGTTGAGTGCTGTGTGTGTACTATGCTAGTTTAGCTTCTACAGAATAGATCAGTAGGTTAAACACAACTGTGACCCTGCATCCTCAGAAAGGGATGGGAAGCAGCAGCTCATTAGTATTTAAAGAGATATAAAGCAAAATGGCTCACTGTGTACTAAAACTGTGTGTTTTTGTGACAGAGTAAATGCTGTTTATCTACACTGCCATTGAACTTTAACCGAAGATAATATAGACTTTTCATTAAGACCTTATCATATTAATAAGCATCCAATGTCACCTTTAAGCCACCTCTTGTGGCAGCATCCACCAAGTTGTGTACATTTAGCAATTTTGAAACCATTTTTAAAAAGCCACATATTGAATTTTTCAAGAAGTCAGTCTATGAAGGGCTTATAGTAATAGTGAAAGCATTTACCAACACACTTCACGTTTAAGAGCTACAAATGATTTGTCCCTGCTTCTTTTGAACCTATGCTAAGTAAACCTGACTTTGTTTCTGACAAAGGTGGTAAATAACTTGGAGTGTGCTATCAGTAGCATGAGAGGTTAAAGAGTTAGCAATCATGCTAACAGGGTGCTACAAATTGCCTTTGTGTTTAGAATTACTTTGCATGCATTAATGTTTATACTGGACAGCTGAAGTGACAGTATTATTTGTCTGTTTTGCCCTTTGTACATGCTCCAATTAGAAAAATACCTGACTGAAAATTTATGAGCCTTATAAGGGGAAAAGTACAACATGATATTATTGCTAAAATGCCTCCCATGCATAAATTCAAGTAACAAGAGAAACCTTCGCAAGACAATAAGAGACAAAGTATATTTCAAGCACTGAGCTGGTTTAAGCTACTGTTCTGTGGTGCAAATTCAAACGTGTGAATTATTGTATTAGAGGTGATTTGTTTTCAAGAACGTGATTCTGCTCTATTCATCCCAGCACTGTGAGACACCAAAGCACAAAAATAACATTTCTCTTATTTTATGCAATTATTGTATCCACACCAGTGTGCAATCATTACAATTTGAAATACTCAAAACATCCTTTACAGACATACAGTTTTGTTCTTGTACCGACATCCAATGGTTCCTATGAACTGCTAGCATTGGGCTGAGCTCTGCAACAGACATGAATATGTAAAAATGAAAATAATATAGTATTAATTACATAATTATTTAACATTAAAATGCTGCTACTACTACTATTACTACTACTACTACCAATAATAATAATAATAATAATATTAATAATAATAATAATACTTTAAAGTCTACACGAAACAGCATTCATAACACATTTTAATGTAATATAACAATATTTCAGTAAAACTGGAAAATAACACAGAAGACTAAACTATTTCATTCATTGTTAAGATTGTTTTCTTTAATGCAATAATTAAATGTAAGAATAAATATATATGACTGTTGATAAACAACCTTGCAATAAATATTTTCTTTGTAGCAATTTGGCTATTTATGTAGGCCAATAGACTTTTTAGCACAGCAGTTTTTTTATTATATATTTTGTCTTTTTTTCTTTATTATTATTAATAATATTATTATTATAATTGCATTATATAAGCAGAAATAATATTTATGGTGATTTTCATGTTTACTTGATTAAGAATGATTCAGAAAACTTACATAGGTTCTTGTGGAATCTCACTTCCTTGGAGAAAGCTGTTGATTCTTCATTAAGAAATGAAAAAGTTAGATGTGTTCATATAACTATGACAGTATTACATAAATACAGAGGGAAAACCATTGAACATCTGGAATACTCACCTAGAGCTTTCCGCAGCTTCCCGCAACTCCTCATCCACTCTAAAGACGCAGAGATTAATTAGGTAATGGTTGAAGTCAAAAACTTTATCCCACATGAAATTTTTACTCTTTTTTTATATTTCCAAAGTGTTGTTTAACATAGAGAAGAAAAATGTCAACTCATTTTTAATAACAAATTTCTTTTGTCTTTATCATGATGACTGTACATAAAATACAAGTACAATTAGATAGTATACAGGTTTTCAGCCTAAAGTGCAAAAGTCTTAACCAGGTTAATTAGGCAAGTCATTGGACAACAGTGGTTCTTAATGGGGCTGATAATTGAACTTACATTTTTTATTTAAAAAAAAATGCAATAGCCGTTTTTATTTGACCCAAAATAAAAGAAAAAAAGACTCTCTGGAACAAAAAAATATATAATAGAAAATACTGTGAAAATTTCCTATCTCTGTTAAACATCACTTGGGAAATATTTGAAAAAGACCAAACATTTCAACTTCAGCTTGGTTGTATACACCTATGACTATTTAAAAGCAACCAATTATGCAAAAATCACTTTTATTAGGGGTTAAACACAGTTATGTGGCAATCGTCTGTGGATGTAATGTGCTTCTAATGTTTTTTTTTTTTTTTTTTTTTTTTATATATATATAAATCACACTTCATAAAAACAGTTTGCAAAAACACTTTGATTGACATTCTCCCTTTGTACATGTCATCAGAGGGGGAAGGCCTCTGGGGACATTAGTCTTGTTTTTGAATCTGTAATGCTGACACATAGGAATTTGTAGCTCCACCCTGATTTGAAAGGAGTACAATTTCATTTGAATTTAAAGCAACAGTCACCAAAACGGCACAATTTGGATGGAAGCCTAAAAGGTCCACTATGTGGGATATTTTGAGCTGAAACTTCATAAACACATCCTAGGGACATCAAAAACTTATTTTACAATAAGTCTTATCTTGTAAAAAGGGGCAGAAAAATGCAGAAAAATGTTTCAAACAATTCATTCATGTTGTCCCAACACAAATTGATTAAATTAACTTTTAACAAATTAACACTTTTAACAAATGTATGCGGATTGAACATTAAAAAAATTAAGTTGTCCTAATGAAATCTCAAGAATTGTGTTGTTTCAGCTCTTTTTAAATACATAGTTTGAACAAATAAAATGTAAATATTTATATATTTGAGTGTAATTGGTCCTTTTTAAATGAAATAAGAAATAAAGAATAGTTAAAACAACACAAAATAAACATTGACTCAGTTTTCATATATAAACATCTGACAATAAATTCATTAATCATAATATTTAAATTAATATTTATTATTTATCAATATTTGTGTGGCGGACGGTTTCGCGTCATCCGCCGCAGTTTCGGCCCTTGTTTTGACTCTCGAGGCGTGTCCAAACGCCAGGTAAACACTATATAGTGAGCACGCTAGCTTTAGTCGGCAGGAGAAGCATTTTACCAACGAGACCAGCAGCCTGTAAGTACATTTAAGACTTGTTTCAGTTGTTGTGTATGGTTTGAGGACTAGTTTTCAGCTGTTTGTGTAAGGTTGTAGGACATTTAAACTTGCTTTCAGTTGTGTATAATACTAGAAGTGTTTAGCCACTGTTTCCTTGGTTACTATAAGAGCTTGTGTAGCGAACGCAGACGGTTTCGCGTCGTCCGCCGCAGTTTCGGCCCTTGTTTTGACTCTCGAGGCGTGTCCAGCTGAATTCAATCAGCTAGTGATTTGGGGTTATATAAGCAACTAGTTTCACTGCGGCAGCAGTTGCGGCAGCCTCGTGTGAAGACCGGCGAGTGTAAAGACCATCGACTCTACCTTCGCCATCGACTCTACCTGCGCGACTCAAGACCGACAAGTGTAAAGACTATCGACTCTACCTTCGCCATCGACTCTACCTGCGCGACTCAAGACCGACAAGTGTAAAGACCATCGACTCTACCTTCGCCATCGACTCTACCTGCGCGACTCAAGACCGACGAGTGTAAAGACCATCGACTCTACCTTCGCCATCGACTCTACCTGCGCGACTCCACCAAGCAAAGACACCGACAAAGCACTTGAGTACTTTATTTTCTTGTTTTACTTTATCTTTACACTTATTTTTTGTTGTCATTGCACTTTTATTATGTGTTTTCTAATTCCTGTTGTTACTAACACTTGCAAAACACAGGAGGTACGCTGCAGGCGTAATCCTCACAACCTTCGTTCAATACATGTATCTGCTATTTCACAACTCTCTCTCTCCGTGGGCCTCTGGAATTGTCAATCAGCTGTTAACAAGGCAGATTTTATTACCTCCATAGCTACATATTCTGACTATAATCTCATGGCTCTAACTGAGACCTGGTTGAGGCCGGAGGACACTGCTACACATGCTACTCTTTCTGCTAATTTCTCTTTTTCCCACACTCCTCATCAGACAGGGAGAGGGGTTGGGACTGGACTACTGATTTCCAAAGAATGGAAATTTACTCTGATACCGTCCCTGCCAACAATCAGCTTCTTTGAATTCCATGCAGTCACCATTATCCACCCCCTCTACATAAATGTGGTTGTCATCTACCGCCCACCGGGTAAATTAGGTCACTTCTTAGATGAACTGGATGTTCCTCTCTCATCTTTTTCTAATTTTGACACTCCCTTGTTGGTGCTAGGTGACTTCAACATTTACATTGAGAAACCGCAAGCTGCTGACTTTCAGACTCTGCTTGCCTCTTTTGACCTAAAAAGAGCACCTACTTCTGCTACCCACAAATCAGGTAATCAGCTAGACCTTATTTACACACGACACTGCTTCGCTGATCAAACAATAGTAACTCCACTACAAATATCGGATAATTTCCTTCTGTCTCTCAACATCCACATTACTCCTGAGCCGCCACACACTCCAACACTGGTTACCTTTCGCAGAAACCTACGATCTCTCTCACCCAATAGACTATCCACCATTGTTTCAGACTCTCTCCCTCCATCTTGCAAACTCTCTGCACTTGATACGAACAGTGCCACTGATACACTCTGCTCCACACTAGCATCATGTCTAGACCGATTATGTCCTCTTGCATCCAGGCCAGCCCGTGCCAGTCCTCCTGCACCCTGGCTCTCGGATGCTCTCCGTGAGCATCGCTCAAAACTTCGGGCTGCAGAGAGAATTTGACGGAAAACTAAAAGTCCTGCACAGCTCTTATACCAAACTCTTCTGTCTTCTTTCTCGGCTGAAGTTACTTCTGCAAAGTAGACATATTACCGTCTAAAAATCAACAATGCCACTAATGCTCGCCGACTTTTTAAAACATTTTCCTCCCTCCTCTATCCTCCTCCTCCACCCGCATCCTCCACACTTACTACTGATGACTTTGTTACATTCTTTTGCACCAAAACTGCAAAAATCAGTGCTCAATTTGCTGCACCTACAACAAACACACAAGATACACCACCAACACCACACTCACTCACCTCTTTTTCTCAGCTCTCTGAGTCTGAGGTGTCCAAACTCGTGCTATCTTGCCATGCAACCACCTGTCCACTCGATCCCATTCCCTCTCATCTCTTGCAAGCCATCTCTCCTGCAGTCATACCAACACTGACTCACATAATTAACACATCTCTTGACTCTGGTTTATTCCCCACTTCATTTAAGCAGGCTAGGGTAACCCCACTGCTAAAAAACCCAACCTGGACTATACACTACTTGAAAACTACAGACCAGTATCCCTGCTTCCATTCATGGCCAAGATTCTGGAGAAAGTAGTGTTCAATCAAGTCCTGGACTTTCTTGCTCAAAACAATCTCATGGACAACAAGCAATCCGGCTTTAAGAAAGGCCACTCAACTGAGACTGCTCTGCTCTCGGTCGTGGAGGATCTCAGACTGGCTAAAGCAGACTCAAAATCATCAGTCCTCATTTTGCTGGACTTTTCAGCTGCTTTTGACACTGTCAACCACCAGATCCTGCTATCTACGAGTTACTGGGCGCTGCGGGCACTGTTATACAATGGTTCAGATCTTACCTCTCTGACAGGTCATTCAGGGTGTCTTAGAGGGGAGAGGTGTCCAACCTACAGCATCTAAACACTGGGGTACCTCAAGGCTCTGTTCTTGGGCCACTTCTCTTCTCCATCTACACGTCATCTCTAGGACCAGTCATCCAGAGACATGGATTCTCCTACCACTGCTATGCTGATGATACCCAGCTATACCTCTCTTTTCATCCTGATGATCCTTGATGATTCCAGCTCGCATCTGAGCCTGCCTGTTGGATATTTCACACTGGATGAAAGATCATCATCTTCAGCTGAACCTCGCAAAAATGGAAATGCATGTAGTTTCTGCCAACCCGACTCTACACCATAACTTTTCAATCCAGATGGATGGGGCAACCATTACTGCATCCAAAATGGTGAAAAGCCTTGGAGTAATGATTGATGACCAACTAAACTTCTCTGACCACATTTCTAGAACTGCTCGATCGTGCAGATTCGCACTCTATAACATCAGAAAGATCCGACCCTTCTTATCTGAACATGCAGCTCAACTCCTTGTTCAAGCTCTTGTTCTCTCCAAACTGGATTACTGCAACTCTCTACTAGCTGGGCTTCCAGCTAACTCTATCAAGCCTCTTCAACTGCTCCAGAACGCAGCAGCACGAGTGGTCTTCAATGAACCTAAATGAGCACATGTCACTCCGCTGCTAGTCCGTTTGCACTGGCTGCCAGTTGCTGCTCGCATCAAATTCAAAGCTTTGATGTTTGCCAACAAAGTGACTTCTGGCCTTGCTCCTTATCTGCTCTCACTTCTGCAGATCTATGTGCCCTCCAGAAACTTGCGTTCTGTGAATAAACGTCACTTCGTGGTTCCATACCAAAGAGGGAAGAAATCACTTTCGTGAACGCTCACGCTCAATCTGCCCAGTTGGTGGAATGAACTCCCTAACTGCATCAGAACAGCAGAGTCACTCGCTATTTTCAAGAAACGACTAAAAACTCAACTATTTAGTCTCCACTTCACTTCCTAATCTGCAATTGCCTCTCTGGATATCACAATAACTGTAAAAAAATACTAATACTACTAATACTTTCCTTTTTAGACTTTACAAAACTGAAACTTGCCTATAGCACTTATTCATTTTTGCTCTAATAGTTGTGTAAATTGTTTAGTCCTCATTTGTAAGTCACTTTGGATAAAAGCGTTTGCTAAATGACTAAATGTAAATGTAAACAGGCTGAAAGACAGCTTCATCCATCAGGCTGTCAGAAAGCTGAACTCTCTCCCAGCTCTACCACCACTCCTCTCTCCCTCCCCACGCAGCTTTGGACTCTGACACTGACACACTGAAACACTTACACAATCTCTCTCTCTCTCTCTCTCTCTCTCTCTCACACACACACACACACACACACACACATCTGCACTGGTCACCTTATGACCTTATGTAGACACACCGTACTACCTCCCTATATGACACTGTCACAACTCTGGTTTGCACTCATTTGCTATTTGCCCTTAATGTCATTGTCATTGTATTGTTTACAAATTTTATTACTTATGCATATGTTTAGACCACATTTTATGTACAATTGTATATGTTGTAAATTTTCTTTTTTTATTAAAACTTTACTTTTTATATTAACATTATATGCTGAGCACCTAGGGTTTGAGAGTAACGTAATTTCGATTCTCTATATCTCCTGTACATGTGGCTGAATTGAAAATAAGGCTGTAATGAGGAGCCTGACACGGAGGGATCCATTTGCAGTATATTTATTTGACACAGTTCAATCACAATCATACAATACGCACTTACGTGCGAACTCACATCAACAGCATTCAATATGGGTCTAAGGGCTGGCCGCTGGCAGTCACAGAATGATAGTACAGGCATGGATCAGTGGCCGAGGGTGAGGTTCAGAGTCCAGATATCGGGCGTGGGTCAAGGGCAGGCGGCGTGGTTCAAAGTCGAAGTACAAGCAAGGTTCGGGGCAGGCAGAAGGCAACTCAGAATCAGAAACAGTCCAGGATAATACACGGGAGATCAGGCAAGGGAATAACGCTCAGAGATGTTAGCCGTGGCAGAACAAGACTTCGCAATGATCTGGAGTGTGTGTGCTGCTTATATGTGTGAGCGTGGGTCATTAACTGAATATGGTGCAGGTGTGCTGGCTGTCAGTGTAAGTGGGTGACGTAATGTTCAGAAGTCTGGTGATGGTGGCCTCTGCTGGCCAGCGAGGGGAATGACAGGGACCGAGTCGGTGACAGAGCCCCCCTCTAACGAACAGCTCCTGAAGTGAGAAGAATCGCGACGCTGGGGTCTTCCACGGGGGCCGAGGGGCCGGCATTTCCAGATGCTGCAGGTGAAACTCATTCAACAGAGTTGGGTCGAGAATATCCTTTCGATTGATCCAAGATCTTTCCTCCGTGCTGTACCCCTCCCAATCGATGAGGTACTATAATTGTTCCCCCCAGCATCTGGATCTCAGGATCTTGTGGATCTGGTAAGCCTCTTCTCTTCTGCCACCTCCCTATCCACCTCGGCTGGACCAACAGCAGGCTTGAGAAGGGAAACATGGAATGTAGGAGAGATACGGTAGTGGTTAGGCAAGGTTAGTCGGTAGGTTACAGGGGAAATTTGACGTTCGATTTGGAAAGGACCCACGTACATGGGTCTGAGTTTTCTGCAGGGAGTCTGAGGCGGAGGTCTCGGGTGGATAACCAAACCCACTGTCCTGGGGAGTAAGTGGGACCAGGACGCCGATGACGATCTGCTTGTTCCTTAAATCTTCTAATGGCATGAGAGCACGTTCCAAACCTTTTCACACTTCTTGAACCTGGAGTCAACGGCTGGGAGTTCTGAGGGTTCTCCGGACCATGGGAACAAAGGGGGTTGAAAGCCTAGTACACACTGAAAGGGGGTTAGACCAGTAGACGGTTTCCTTAAGGAGTTCTGTGCATATTCTGCCCATATTAGAAATTTGCTCCATTCAGCTTGGTTGTTGTGACAATAGGTCCGTAGGAAACGACCAATCTCTTGGTTGAAATGTTTAGTTTGGCCGTTGGACTGAGGGTGATAACCGAAAGTGAGACTGACGTTAACTTGAGGGTTCTTGAAAAAGGCAGACCATAATCGGGATGTGAACTGGGGACCTCTGTCGGACACAATGTCCTTGGGTAATCCATAGAAGCGGAAGACAAATTCACTGATCAGCCCGGCTGTTTCTAGGGCTGTGGGTAACTTGGGGATGGCGATGAGTCTACAAGCTTTTGAGAATCGGTCTATAACAGTGAGTATGGTGGTGTTGCCTTGAGACTGGGGGAGGTCAGTAATGAAATCTATAGCAATATGGGACCAAGGACGACGTGGGATCTCCAGGGGTTGCAGTAAGTCAGCGGGACGATGATGGCAGTGTTTGACCATTTGGCTTGATGAACAGTTATTGACCACCTTGATCACATCCTTAGTAATGGAGGACCACCAGTAACGGTTCTGGATCAAATGGATTGTGGCTGTACTACTTGGATGACCGGAACTGGGCTTATTATGGACTTCAGTTATGAGTTTTTCTCGAAGAGTTGGGGGAACAAAGACTTTATTCTCGGGACATGCCTGCGGTGTGGCATTTTGGGCTGATGCTTGGAGGATTTCCATCTCAATGTCCCATTGGATGGGTGCTAAAATCAGGGATTCTTTCATGACCGGGTGGACATCCTCAGCCAATGCCTCTTCATCCGACGAGCGTGATAGCGCGTTAGCTTTGACGTTCTTTGAACCAGGGATATATGTGACATTGAAGTCAAAGCGTGTAAAAAACAGTGCCCATCTTGCTTGTCTGGGGTTCAGTCTTTTGGCCAATCGGATATATTCTAGATTTTTGTGATCTGTGACAACAGTGAATGGGTGTTTGGTGCCCTCAAGCCAATGTCTCTATTCCTCCATTGCTGCTTTCATGGCTAGGAGCTCACAGTTACCAACATCATAGTTCTCCTCTGCTGGGTTAAGTTTGTGGGAGTAGAATGCACAGGGATGGAGTTTATTTGTTGTCTGGGATCTCTGGGAAAGTACTGCACCTATGCCTGTGTTGGAGGCATCAATCTCCACCGTGAAAGACAGAAATCTGGTGATGGTGGTCTCTGCTGGCCAGCGAGGGGAATGACTGGGACCGAGTCGGTGACAAAGGCTGACTTTGACTATTCAATAAAATACATTATTGGACTAAAAGTGTAGAACAAAAAAAATTAAATGGTTGTGTATTCTTGATAAAACTTGTGCTGTTTGTTTAAACTACTTCTTGGGTTTCATTGTTTTATGTTGAATGCACTTAAATTTGTAAAACTAATAAGTTAACTTAATTCTTACATGTTATCCCAAGACAAATTGGTTGTGGATAGAATCCATAACCATTGCTCCTCACCCCAGAATCAAAAATATCTGTTCCCATAGAAACATGTCTTCACAGGTTTTAAATTAGTCACAACTCCTGTGCTGATTCTCATAAACACATTCAATGCCTTTTCGTCTCACTCTCACAATGTATGTGTGCAGCTGGTCAGAGCCAAGATTGTGGTTACTCATGGTGCATGTCAAAAATATATAGTAATTAAAGACAATAAAACATGTCGCTCATTAAATGTTGCTTACCTGACGATGCATTCAGGTATGTGGACATACTCCATTGGGATGAGTTCCTCCAGTTCAGCTAAGCTGTTCACATATTTTATCTTACTGCTGAATTTTGAGCTGGAAAACATCAAATGCACTACATTTATTTATTGTTTTTTTATAAGAATAATTTGTATACTACTGTAGTTTTGTACACATTGTATTTTGTTATTTTAAATCACTGTTAGAAATATATTGATCTCACTGGGAAAATATCCATACATTAGCAGTTTTCCATATTTTGTGAATTATTTTTCTCCCATTTATTTATTACATTTATAGTTTTTAAATTGCATTGTGGCACCTTGATCTTTTCTCCAACAAATTTTAGTGACATTTATTGACAATTTTAAAGTTTTAAGTAATACATTGTTTGCATCATTGTTGTAAATTAATACAAATACCTGAGAATAAAATCAGACGATTTTGTGTTTTTTTTTGTGTGTGTGTGTTATTTTAATGCATAGCTGCATTTATTTAAATTATTACATAAAATATCGGTTTTATCCAGAATATATTTCAAATATAATTAATTTCTGTGATGGCAAAGTTGAATTTCCAGTCTTCGATGTGAAATGATCTAATTGTGATTCTAATATTTGGTGCTCCAGAGATATATTCGATGCTGAAAAAAAGTTGTGCTGCTTAACATTGCTTATAAAAGGACAAGAACGCATTTAGGTAATCAGATCAAAGGAAATGACACCATGAAAAAGGAGCAATACATAAAAATTCAAAACGCCAACATCAGGCAGTCTGCAATCAATCTGTGAAGAGAGCTTAAGATCAGGGTGAACGCATAAGAGGCTCTCTAAACTGAAAGAATTGAAGCTCATCGCTAAAGATAAATAGACAAAATACTAGTGGAGACATGCAAAAAGCTGGTCAGCATTTAAAGGAAGCAAGTGATTGCTCCAAATGCCAAAAAAGGCTTTTCTATTAATTACTGAGAAGGGTATGACACTGTATCAAAACATTTAAAATTCTGTCCCCATACCTGATAAAAGGTTTTGTGATGGCTAGAATTGTCCTAATGAACCATGACGGATGAACAATGATGAAAGATTTTAGGTTCTTTCTCAACCTGAAAATTGTAAACAAAAGATATTAGTAATATATTATTGAGAATATTAAAAAGTAATATATAGACTATACACCTCCTGTCAATCATCTGGTAGCATCTCTTGAGCCAATTGAGGCCAGGCATCCTCCGGTGTGGTGTGGCTCCATTTAAGTAAACAATCATATAATCTTCTGCTACCATGAGCTCCAGTGTACTGATAACATACCTGAAGTAAAATTTTTATTTAATTAATAATATTGATGTGATTAAAAGATAATTTGAAACAAGGACAACTGAATGAACTCACAGAAAGAGGTTTTCCATGATCTCGTGATAGTCCTCTCTATCACTGTCAGGAAGGAAGCACGCAGCAAACACAATGATGGCATTTGCACCATTGCTATAGTAGCCTATGAGAGAAGAAAACGTTCAAGGTTACAGAAGTAACCCTACGTTCCCCGAGAAGGGGAACGGAAGTGCTATTAAGTGGATTTGATCTTTGTGAAAATCCATGAAATGGGAGGATTCGGTTCAGCAGCCTCTTGTCTGAAAGAGTATTGAACGGGCCAATGAATGCAATGAATTGGCAGCGTAAGCTTGCACAGGTGTGCTTCATTGCCAATTATCCCAGCATATAAGCACACCTGGAGCGAGCAAACGCCACCCTTTTAAGCTGAAGAGATTTTCAAACAGCTAAGGGACAGTCATTATGGCGACGGAGTATAGCACTTCCGTTCCCCTTCTCGGGGAACGAAGGGTTACTTCTGTAACCTCGAACGTTCCCCTTCGGTTGGGGAACTTCAGTGCTATTAAGTGGATTTGATCTTTGTGAAAATCCATGAAATGGGAGAACTATGGAAAGCGCCATAATAACTGCACCTTACCAACGCCCCCGATTAGGGGATAGTCAAACAAGCGCGACGCACCCACATCATGGGAGGCGCGGTCCTCCAACGTGTCCCTGGCCCTAATTTATCCTACTTCAACAGAAGTCTTACGGATTTAGATATATTTTTTGGGAAGTCGTGAGCATCTAGATAATTCTAGGAAAATACGACAGTACGTTGGAAAGCGTGCAATCCCGATAGGGAGGACGCTGCGGAGGCCATCCGTTACCCAAGGGGGATAGATGGCAGAATTTACATATGGACTAGCCCTAAAAAGGGGGAGTACGCATAGCAAAAGAGTGGTTAGCGGAGAGGGAAGACACTGGTCCGCCCGGGGGGGGGGACTTAACCGTGGCTGAATAAGCATATGGGATCGCCTAGTGGGGATTACGCATAGCAGGCACCTATACCCAAAACGCGGGCTGACCAGCGGGCAGACCTACAACGTAGTGGGCCAGCAAGTGACTCCTCCGCTGAGTCAGTGCTGGGGGCCACGGAGGAATCTGCAGGGCTCACCTGACGGGGAACTTCACTGACAGATTAAAAGGCGCACGTACCTCCGTGTTAGGGAGAATGGCGCAGCAAGCGTGTTTCAACACCCTACCGAATTGTTTCCTCAATCACCAAGGGTTACCTAATACCCTTGAGGAAACCGGCTCCACTTGCAGATTGTAAAACCTTGCAAATGTGTTGGGTGTCACCCAGCCCGCAGCTCTACAGATGTCTGTTAGAGAGGCGCCGCGTGCGGGCGCTCGAGAGGATGCGAAGCTCCGAGTGGAGTGCGCACGCACTCTCAGGGGACGCGGCTCACCTCGGCTCTGATAAGCGAAAGAATGTCATCCACAATCCAGTGGGAACTTTTTTCGGTACGGCACGTCCCTGCTGCTCAGATGATCTAAACCTTGAGTGTGGTCTGGATATTACGCAAAACGCGAACTGGACAATAAAGAAAGGGCTGGGTCTGCCTCCTCCGAGGGCAGCGCTTGCAGGCTCACTACCTAGTATTAAAACGGAGTGGTAGGAACCTTGGGCACATATCGCGGGCGGGGTCTCAGGACGTGGGAGAAAGCCAGCCCAATTACAGGCACGAGTCACTGACCAAAAAATGCGAAGGGAAAATCGAAGGGATCTGACGCTGCTTGTGTAGCGAGGGCGAGATCCTAAGAGGGCATGAGAGGGGGCGGGGTGGATTAATTCGCTTAGCATCCCTGAGGAACCGGATGATGAGGTTATGCGTTCCCACGGTGCTGCCAGCCACCCCGTCATGAGAGCGGAGATGGCAGCCACGTAACCTTGAGTGTGGAGGGCGACAGCCTGCTCTCCAGCTTCTCTCGGCATAAAGAAAGCACAAGGCTGATCTGGCAAATTACGGGGGTCTTCTCTGCGAGAGACGCACCATTCAGTGAATAGACTCCACTTCAGGGCATAGGCGCACTCGGGGAGGGGGCTTTAGCCCGAGTGACGTATTAGCCACCGCATTCGGAGGTTACCTAAGTCTTCCTTGCGTCTAAGGACCTCCAAAGATCGGCGAGGGTGCCAGATAGTGCCCTGTCCCTGAGAGAGTAGGTGCTCTCTCGAAGGGAACTGCCAGGGGAGGGCTATCGCGAGGGAGAGCTCTGACATCCAGGTCCGGTTGAGCCAGAGGGGCGCAACCAGCAACCTGTTCCTCGTCCTCCCTGACCTTGCACGGTAACTGCGCGAGCAGGCTCACTGGGGGAAACGCGTATTTGTGCATGCCCCGAGGCCAACTGTAAGCCGATGCATCCGTGCCGAGAGCACTGGGTCAGGGAAAGAGCAACTGGCAATGAGCGATCTCGGGGGAAGCAACAGATAGATCTGGGCTTCCCCGAATCGCTCCCATATCAGTTGAACAGACTCGGGGTGGAGTCTCCATTCTCCAGGACGTAAGGCTGCCGTGAGAGCGCATCGGCTGCACGGTTGAGCTTGCCTGAATATGAATGGCGTGCATCGATTTCAGCCGCGAATGACTCCAGAGGAGCAGACGGCGGGCGAGCTGAGACATGCGGCGAGAGCGAATACCCCCCATACGGCTGATATACGCCGCCGCCGCCGCCGTACTGTCCGTCCTGAACAGCACGTGTTGCAGCTCCAGCACCGGAAAAAACAGTGGAGAGCGAGGAATACTGCCAACAGCTCCAGGCGATATGCCAATGCAAATACACACAAGTGACTTGGGGGGCCGTTTTGCAAACTGAATCGCATAGCCGAGTCTGATTGTGCGTATGAGCCACCGCGAAGAGCTGGCCCGCGCTAACCAGGCAGGCAGAGCTCCCGCTAATGGACTCATCGCTACAATCGCTGACGTACCAGCAGTGGGGCAGCACGGAGTGGGTGTGCTGATCCGGGAAGCACGCGGGTCCCACGGAAAAGGTGGAGGTGAGATGTTTGCTCTCACTCCGCACCCGAGCTCCGGAGGGGAGGCTCAAGGGGTGGGAGAAAGGAGAACGTCCTCCCATCGCGCGTGAGCCACTGGCGAAACGTACCGAATCTGCAAGCTAGAAAGCAGAGCGTACCAGACTGGCAGATTTCAGGCTGTCACAACCGGGGAAGTGGAAAAGTGCTCTTTCATAATGTTTTCATGGCAGTAAAAAGTGCCGTTGGAAATGGGGCCACGCCCTCCAGCGGGGAAAGAGCAAGTTCCTTCTTCTACAGATGGCCTGTCCCTGGGACGCTTCGCGCTCGCTTCGCCAGAGGCGTGTGCGGGGGCGGAGCAGCTCTCGTAGGCGGGCGCCTTCGGCGAGGAGCAGGTATGATTGGCACGGCGGGCGGAGCAGGCTACGGACCGCCGATAAGACATCACCCATCAACTGCTCACTCACCGCCTTGAATTCCTGGGTGAATTCACAGACGGTGTCGCCGAACATGGCTTGGGATATGGGGAAGTCAAGAAAGCGGACTTTGTCGACTTCGCGCATATCAGCCAGGGGTGGCGCTCCTGGATCACTAATGTGGACATCGTCCTCCCCAACGCACATGCAGCGGACTCAGTAGTCCGAAGAGCTAAGTCGGCGGCGGTGCAAAGCTCGTAAGCCTGGGTTGGACCCACCCTCTTGCAGCTCGGCCAGCGCCTGCGCTTGGTGGCACTGGTAGGTGGCTATCGCATGCAAGGCGGAAGCTGCCTGGCCCGCAGCTATGTAAGCTCTATCTCAGAGGGAGGCAGATAACTTACAGGCTTTGGATGGGAGACGAGGCGGACCCCGCCAAGAAGAGGCGCCGCGCGGATTGACCGCCATCGCGCACTCAACCTGAGGAATTGCCACATACCCCCTGGCTGTTCCACCGTCAAGAGTGGTGAGGGTAGAGGGACACGCAGCATGAGCAGAAAAAAGTGCTCCTCAAGACCGCGTGAGCCTAATGTGCACCTCCGGGAAGAAGGGAACGCCCCTCTAGTCTGTCCGGCCGCGGAGCTGGGGGATAAACCATCTCCAACCCACGGCCAAAGCAGCCCGGGAAAGCACGGCTAACATGTCCGTTTCAGGATCCGTAGTGACAGCGCTCACCTGCCCGAAGGGGGCGAGTGGGTCTGGATCATCATCGGACAATGAAAGCCCACCCTCCGATGCCGCGGTGGACGTCTGGTCTCCGGTGTCATCGGGCATTAGGGCTATCATCTGTTAGACGGATCGCTTCCACCGCCCGAAGCTTGGATGGAGCGCTTAGAGGAGCAGGAGGTCCGCGGGCCCGTGGGCGACGGATTATCTCTCGCTGAAACCCTCAGATTTGCCCTAGTGCAGAGCAGGGGACAACTGGGGTGGTTTGCCCTTTTGCAAAGGCTAGCCGCGATCTTTACTGCGCAACAGTCATGGCATCGCAATGACGACATGAACTGCCCGCGAGCAACGCATTAACATGCTGGACCCCCCAGGCATGTAACGTAGTGCCCGTCCCCATCATCCGAGGACAGGAAACCACAGCATCCAGAAACGCACAGTCGGAGCGCCGTCCTGAAAAGGACGTGCTGCACGACTGTGTTGCTCTTTCTGTGACGTTTGCAACTTTATACGCACCGCTCTGGAGGACCGGACCCAAAGAACACCAGGCAAGGGAGAAACCCAGCTCGACCGTCTGCCGCTGCGTGTACACACTCTGGACCGGGAGAATGCTCTCGTTCGCTCAGAATCGCTGGTCACAGCAGGAGGAACCCTCATTGACTCGATCAGAAAGTCTCTGAAGCGAAAAGGATGGCGTTTGCTCGCTCCAGGTGTGCTTATATGCTGGGATAATTGGCAATGAAGCACACCTGTGCAAGCTTACGCTGCCAATTCATTGCATTCATTGGCCCGTTCAATACTCTTTCAGACAAGCGGCTTCTGAACCGAATCCTCCCATTTCGTGGATTTTCACTAAGATCAAATCCACTTAATAGCACTGAAGTTCCCCAACCGAAAGGGGAACCACAGTTGTGAAAGATCCCTGCAAACAGACACTGGTTTCATCATGTAAACCCATTGCTCAACGAAATTAAGTCAAATTACAAGTTAGCTTTGTACAAAAAATAAATAAGTCTGAGCTTAATTCTATTAAATGTGTACTCAGTCTTAAAAGTATGTTTTTAAAAGTTGTTATTGCAGATGTTGTAATATTAATGAAATTAATGAACATTTATGACAGAATAAACTTTTAACTTTTGACAAACTTTTTGAATGTCATCATATTTTGGTGTATTGAAAAAACTAAAGCCCATAATCAAAGCCTACATCATAATAAGAAATGAGTGATTACAATAAAAAAATATTAGGAATTAAATTACAGCATATTTTGTTATTGCCTTCTATGCAGTGTGTAACAGCTCTAAGTGAATAAAAAATGAAGCTAAAGTTTAAATCGGAAAGTGCACCATTTTTAAAACGATTGATTCTTTAAAAAGAGTCAACTTGGTTTAAATAGTCTGTAACTGTTTTGTGATGATGTCAACAAAACATTTGCCATATATGAGATGCCGACCCAGAAAAGCTTAAACTGGCCCTTCTTAATACCTCTGAGGCAGTATGCTCAGGCATTCCGTCTGAATGGGGAAACATTATTTTTTTAAAAAATTGCTTACCAAGCTTAATAAAACATTTCACATTAAGAATAACCAATAAAATAAAATAGAACAAGTTTAATTTAATTTCTTCAGAAAGTCATATCTGGTCCGAGCCCCTCTCCTGGAGATTTGGCATAGCGATATTGTACTAAAGTGGGTCTTCATTTGCCATGTTGACTGTTACACTTTGTCCCAATCAAAACTATAAGAGAAGTCTTGTGTAATCTATAATGTTTGGCTGGGCTCACACATACAGGTGTTGGTCAAATAATTCAAATGTCTTCAAAAAGTTGATTTCTTTTACTGGTTCTATTCAAAAAGTGAAACTTGTTCAATCTATAAATTCATTTCAAACAGACTGATATATTTCAAGTGTTTATTTCTTTTAATGACAACTAATGAAAACCCCCAATGCAGTATCTCAGAAAATAAGAACACATTAATATCAATTTAAAGAGAGTAATTTTAAAAAATCTTGGTGAATTGAAAAGTATGAAGATGAAAAGTATGAGCATGCACAGCACACAATACTTAGTTGGGGAGCTTTTTTCCTGAATTACTGCAGCAATGCAACATGACGTAGAATGCTCTAAAATGTCCTGTTATTGAGCTGTGTTTACCTTGGACCTCAGAAAATACAGTGGAGCAGCAGATGACTTGGCACCCTAAACCATCACCATCTTAGAAGAATTTACACTGTACCTCAAGCAACATCTATTGTGTGCCGCTCCTCTCTTCCTCCAGACTCTAGGACCTTGATTTGGAAATGCAAAATTTACTTTTATCAGAGTAATTAACTTTGAAGCACTCAGCAACTGTCCAGTCTTATTCCAGGTGAGACACATATGTCTGTTGCTCAAGAGTGGCTTGACACAAGGAATGCGACAGCTGAAACCCATGTCTTGCATACGTCTGAAGCACTGACTCCAGCTGCGGTCCACTCATTGTGAATCTCCCCCACATTTTTGAATGGGTTTTGCTTTACAATGCTCTCCAGAGTTTTCCTTATTGCTTGTAAACCTTTTTTTACCACATATTTTTCTTCCCTTCGCCTTTCTATTAATGTACTTGGAAATAGAGCTCTGTGAACAGCCAGCCTTTTTTGCAATGACAATCTATGTCTTGGCTTCCTTGTGCAAGGTGTCAGTGGTCATCTTTTGGTCAAACTGTCAAATCAGCTGTCTTCCTCATAATTGTGTAGCCTACAGAATTAGACTGAGACACATTTATAAGCCATTAAGTTAAGTTAATTTGCTGATTAGAGTGTGGTACCAGGTGTCTTCAATACTAAACCTTTTCACAATGTTCTCATTTTCCGAGACACTGGATTTGGGGTTTTCTTTAGTTGTCATTCAAATCAAAGTTAAAAGAAAAAAACTGTTGAAATATTTCAGTCTGTGTGGAATGAATGTAAACATGATATAAGTTTCACTTCTTGAATTGAATTAGTAAAATACATCAACTTTTTGAAGACATGCTAATTTTATGACCAGCACTTGTATACTCTTCACCATGGTCGGCTACTTGTTGGGCGTTTCTCTCTATCTTTTGCTGAACACAGTCAACCAATCACAAAAGTGATTTTTGGAAAATCTGAATCGCTGATCAAATCATATGTGAGTCATTGAATAATCAGGTAAAAAATAAATGCATTTTATAAAACAATGAAAGTAGTTTTTGACCTTGTGTGCATATCAGCCCGTTGTTGGACACCCCCAAAACCAAAATATGATAATTTTTATAATGCATATGGCTGTTAAAAGGGTTAGCACCCAAAAATAGAAAACTCTGTCATCATCTATTCAACTTTTACTTGTTTGAAACCTGATTGAGTTTGTTTCTTCTGTTGAACACAAATATATTTCTTAATAAAGATTAGAAATGTGTAACCATTAGCTTAGTATTTGTTTTTCCTAATATGGAATTCAATGGTTACAGGTTTTCTGTGTTCTTCAAATTATCTTATTTTGTATTTAACAGAAATAAGAAATAAAGGTTCTACACAATTTCTCCTTTGTTTTTGCACACTAATTTGTGTGCTAATCACCCTCTTGTTATACATGACCCAGAGTTTCTTTTAAAGTTCTGATTGCATACCTCCATGGGATATGACTTTTTGGTAGGGTTCAATGCTCTTCATGTTGATGCGGTGCTCTTGCTCTCCAATGATGACCGTTCTCCAGAGTTTGGAATCCTGCCGTTCCTCCTCAGCACTGTATGTGGGAATGGACTCAACTGTTTCTTTTACAGAATCTCGCTGGGATGCTTGAGGTTCTAAAAACACAGAGAATTATTAATCTGCTTTCAATAATACAAAATGGTTACAAGTGTTAGTAACCTACCTTCCCAGTCTATTTCATGGTCTGTATAATCTGCTTCATCAGGTGTGTCCAGATCATCCACATTGATGTCGAGGTCATCTGGCGTGTCAAACAGGTCATCCTCACTTTGGTCCAATGAAAGACTAATACGGGGAGCGGACAGTTTTTTCCTCTGAGAAGACACACCCCCTTGGCCCTGTAGAGGCAGTGAGGTGGGTGGAGCTAGTTGGAAATGAGCAGACAATTAAAATGACGTGAATGTAAATCGTTATAAAATCAATAATAATTTAAAAAAAATAATAAATTAAAAAATAAAATAAAAAAATTACTAAAATCTTCAGAAGATTCTGTGTCATTGTTAGAATTCTCACCTGGTCTACTCTCTGCCCCTTCAAAACTCATCTTGCTTTCATAAGTCTGGTCCATCCCCACATTGCCAGAAGGGGAACTATAAGAAACATTATATTTATAACACTTTGTTGTCAAAGATGCATATAACTATCCACAATAGTTTTAATAAAAAATATTATTTCTAGTACTAATACTACTACTACTGCTACTACTACTACTACTACTACTACTACTACTACTAATAATAATAATAATAATAGCAATAATAATAATAATAATAATAATAATTATTATTATTATTATTAATATTATTATTATAGTAGGGTAATAATTATAATAAACTTGTTAATAACAACCATAATAAAATATACATTTATTCCAAATAATGCTTACAAATATAAAAGATAATCAAAGAATAGAAGAAGAAGAATAAATAAATAAATGAATGATAACTGATTAATATATAGTAGTTAACATGTGAAGAACATGCAAAAAAAAAAAAAGTTTTTCAGAATTGTCCTAAGACAAGACTGGGTGTTGTTTCAATAGCAATAAGACAACTTTAATGAAAGGTTTTGATCCACAAATGTTGCTACTTTTGTCCTTTTTTCATTAGTAATATAAAATCACTGTTCATTGAGACAATCACCTTTTCATTATCTTCCATGAGTTCAGAATAAAGAGAATACTTCTATTACAGAAATGTAAGGCTCTGCCATATTAGTTTCTTTTTTTTTTTTTTTGTTTCTGCAGGGAACACATTCTCTTATTCTCTCTTGTGGGTTTCAACAATTCAGCAATGTATTTTTTAAAGCCAATTAATTAAACTAGAATGCAATGCATTACTTTTTTAAAAATGTTATTCAAATATTATTAATTCTATTTATTTATATTGTTTTTAAGTAATGCATTATTCCTTTCTAGGGCCAGAAAGAATCTGCAGAAAAAAATCTGTGAATTTATGCAGACTGATTTTGGGAGTATTATAACTAAAACCTAATTTATTAAATTAACAATAACAATTTTTTAACTTTTATTTATTGTTTATAATGCAAATTCAATTAAATCCACTTATTTGGTAAACAAAGCAAGTCTCTCAAATAATATATCTACAAAAAGACAGAAAAATATTACTTTTTAAACTGTATTGTAAATAATTCATAGGAACATTTTCATTCATGAAATTAATTTAAAAACTGAATTAATATAAATTTACACACATTTACACAAGTAAATAAATAGATTCATTAATACACTAAAAATCTGCTAATTTCTGCATGCACACATTCTGTGTGGGCCTACTCATTACTTAGAAATACTATTTAAATAGAATCAACAAACAATAATAATAATGTAAGTGAGTCTAGTTAAATTGTAAAAAGTAAGAACTCACAGACACAAAGAGCTGTTTCAAATGAGTCTTAAGCACAGAAGATGCACTTAAAACTGTGAATCCAGAACTTTTGCAGCTTTTTCTTCAGTATAATACAATGGCAGTCTTGCATTGGCTGCTGCTGCAATCAGAACAACCAAATTAACTGTCAACAGAAATCTGCTCCTAAAATAGTTATCTGTGCAATTATTTCTCCATCTCCCTTTGAAATTAAAAGCAGTGTGCATTCATGTGTAAATGTATGCATAAAACACACACGCAGCCATGTGAGAAGGGAAACTGTCTCGCGGGAGTGTCTACAATAAGCTGCCAGATGGTTGCCAGTTCACACAGAGTGTTGAGAGAAAGAAAGAGAGTGGGTGAGGGTGAAAGTGAAAAGGTCTGTTGCTTTCTCCCTCCATCAAGATGTTGGATTAATCCATCCTCCACAGCAGGAAACAGAAAAAGTAGGCGGGCATTATGTCATCATCATGGACCCCTTCTTCTCTCTCCCTCTTCTTTGTGAATCACTCTTCCGCCTCAGTGTCCACACACATTCACATCTCAGTGTCACACACACACATAGGCAAATTATTGAGCCATACATGTAGAGCAGTGAATTTGAATGATGCTCAAAAACAGGTCAACTGTACACATAGGCTGAAGCCTCGTTATGGTAAAACGTGTGCTTGCATTCAACAAGACAAACATTCATTTATGATCCATATGCAAATAGAAGCAGCTGCCTCTATCTTGCATCATAGAGGATGCTGATGTTAAACCTCTTCCGCTATCGCACACAGATGCATCACAAACAAATGCCCATCCCTTCTTCCACTCCCAGCTTTCAAATCACAGCAAGCCTGATATAATACCCACAATGCACTCACCACCACGGTTGAGGCACACCTCTGTTCCCTTCTCTGGGTTTTAGATCATGGATGTGTGGCTGTATCTCTCAGCGTCAGGGATGCTCAGCTCATCCACTGCCGAGTGCATTCACCATTTTATGGTCATGTGACCTCCTCAAGCACCAAATAAGGATGTGAGGCTGTTCTCTCCGCCCTGAGCTTGAGATATAAATGAGTGAGACTGAGCAGCAACTCTCAATGAAGCTCAAGGGGTCTGAATGCACAGGTGAACATTATGAGGTAGTACAAGGTCACAGTGTTTAGGAACTGCAATTTTAAGCTGTTCTTTTTTTGTTACATGTGGTAAAGAAGTGCATTTACGCATTCTTTTCAAATAAGTTATTTAAATTAAAATTTTTATTGAATGGCAGCATTTTGGGTGTCATGGTGGCGCAGTGAGTTGCACATTCGCCTCACAGCAAGAAGGTCACTGGTTCGAGCCTCGGCTGGGTCAGTTGGCAATTTTGTGTGGAGTTTGCATGTTCTCCCCGTGTTTGCGTGGGTTTCCTCAGGGTGCTCAAGTGTCCTCCAAAAGACAATTTGGTAAGCTAAATTACATTGGATAAGTTGGCAGTTCATTCCACTGTGGGAACCCCTGATTAATAAAGGGACTAAGCCAAAAAGAAAATGAAGGAATTAGTGTATCTATATTTGTGTCTTGTATTTAAAAAAAAGAAAATGAATGAATGAATGCCATTATTTAAACATTAAAGTGATTTGAGCCAAGTAGGGGTAAACCAGGGGCAATTCCTCCTAGCAGAAACAAACTTGAGTAAAATCTATAAGAAATAGGCTTTTGCTTTTTAACATCTAAAATAATTTAAATCATATATTTACAGTTGAAGACCACATTACTAGCCCTACTTTTTTTATATTTCTCAAGTTAAAAGGAGAGATTTTTTAAATATATTTTTAAACATAATAATTTCAGAAACAAACTTTATTATATTTAGATTAACAAAATGATAATGTATATGACAAGTTATATTTGTTAAAATAATATTTTACTACTTATTTTCAAGATAGTAATCAGTTAAGCAATTTAAAGTTCAATAACAAGTTCAATTACCTTAACTAAGTTAGATTAACTAGGCAAGCCAGTGGACAACAGTTTTTTGTTCCTTACTTAATCATGGGGAAAATGCAAAGGGGGAAAATAATTCAATTTGATAATAAAATTTTAAAAATACATACTTTTAAAATGTTAAGTTAGCTCTGAAAAAAAAAATTCTAGGGGCGAAGCTGTGGTGCAGTAGGTAGTGCTGTTGCCTCACAGCAAGAAGGTCGCTAGTTTGATCCTTGGCTCAGTTGGCTTTTCTGTTTGAAGTTTGCATGTTCTGCCATTGTTCGCGTGGGTTTCCTTCGGGTGCTCCGGTTTCCCCCACAGTCCAAAGACATGCGGTACAGGTGAATTGGGTAGGCTAAATTATCCGTAGTGTATGAGTGTGTGTGAATGAGTGTTTGTGGATGTTTCCCAGAGATGGGTTGCGGCTGGAAGGACAACTGGTGCGTAAAAATGTGCTGGATAAGTTGGTGGTGACTCCAGATTAATAAAGGGACTAAGCCGACAAGAAAATGAATTTAATGAATATTTTTAAGTACATTTTTTCATTGTTACAATTGCCAACAGCAACGTTACAATTGTAACACTAAATTTATTAATAAGTCTTATCTTTATTTGTCTAAAAACATCAATTGTATTATTATTGTTATTAGTGCACCTAGGGTAGCACAATTGGCTCACAGCAAGAAGGTCGCTGGTTCGACCCTCGAACTAAGCCAAAAAGAAAATGAATGAATGAATTAGTGCACCTATATTTGTATCTTGTATTTTAAAAAAGAATTGTTTATTTCAAGTTATAAAGCAAATTGCAAACTACAATTACTTCTGGTTTATACATTATAGTTTATAATTTTGGAATATATATAGAAAAATGGTTAAAGTGTACTGTCTGAAAGAGCTGACAAAGATTTATAATAAACTGAAATATATTTAAATGTCATGTAATTGACACATTGTTATATGAAATTAATAAATAAATCCACAAATAAATAAATAAATAAATGTATATGAATCCAAACATTCCTGCTTAAATAAATGCATCAATAATTAATAGTGTGGGTAGATAAATAATTAAAGAAACTATACATGTTTGTACTGGTGATTGATAAACACCATCTCCTTAGCATGTTAAGTTGAGGAAAGTAAATACGGAGCAATGTAAAAAAAAAAATGAAAACATGCTTGAATGGGGGTGCAAAAATCTATTTTCAGTTTAGCATTTTCTTATTCCCCAATGTAATTATTTTTCTGCATGTACTATTTTTTATTTATATTCATTCAATTATTCATTCATTTATTTTTTGACTAATAAAGTCCCTTTATTAATAAGGGGTCGCCACATCGGAATAAATCGCCAACTTATCCAACATGTGTTTTAAGCAGCAGATGCCCTTCCAGCCACAACCCAGCACTGGGAAAAACCCATACACACTCATTCACACACACACACACACACACACTACAGCTAATTTAGCTTATTCAGTTAACCTATACCACATGTCTTTGGACTGTGGGAGAAACCGGAGCACCTGAAGGAAACCCACGCCAACATGGGGAAAACATGCAAACTCCACACAAAAATGCCAACTGACCTAACCAGGACTCAAACCAGCGACCTTCTTGCAATGCGGCAACAGTATTAACCACTGTGCCACCCTAAATGTTTTCAAATGTATCATTTTTAAATTATAACAAAGTGCACATGATGACAGATAATTTTGTCATACATTTTATGCTTCTATCCTAAACACTCAAAATTATGTCAATTTCATTATCAAAACCTAAATTAAAAAATAAACATATGAAAAAATAAGCATATTTCAAGATGTCTATAACAGTTTATGACATTTATTTTTTAATCCCCATTCATATATTTTTTTACTGTGATGTCAGTAAATATATATATATATATATAACTACATATTAAAAAAATGTCTTACTTCAGGAGTTCACAACTGTCCTGTATTATCTACATACTCAAATCATAAACTATTGTGGTCAAACTGTAAATCAAGGTTTGTGCTCTCATCATTCACTTGATCACCCATGAAGATTCATTGTGTTGAATCTGCTTTTTGAAAGTGTTCACAGAAAAGGTTACTCCTTAAATTACAAGGTAAAAATAGCAAAATGTCTGTTCCCTGCTGTACCAAGATGAAGCATGTTCTCTGATTTAAGATCCTCACAGTGTTGCGAGAAGTGTGTTGTGTGTTCAGCTACTCACCAGCTTTTTGCTCCAAGTCTCTTGTATTTTTTAAAGGAAGCAATGGGAGGTGCTCTATGACCTCTTACTCAGAAACTGTTTGGTCCAATGTTCATTGCTACGGTTACTTTGCCACACCTGACATAAGTGTAAAGACATAAGTCACTGCTAGATTTATAAATTCACTCTTTAGCTCTCTTGAACAATGTCAGTGGTGAAAAAAATAAAATCACATCGAGTTGCTTTTTAACTTCATTGTTGTAACAAATTGTAAATCCATAATGATCAGAATGTATTTTAGGGTACAAATCTCTGCATTAATAATTAAACCATTAACTGTGATTTTAAATCACATCGTGGCTCACTGTTCAGTAAAACTAGGAGCCCGTCAATAGATAAGAGGTTACTGACAGATTGTTTTCTACACTGTAAAAAATTGCTGTTACAAAATGGTGAGATTCTACAGTAAAATAATGTTTTTTCACTAAAACAGTAATATTCTGTTAAATACAGTGCATTCTAGGTAACATTTTTGTTTGTCGAGAAAATAACCAACAGCAGAAAACTGTGAGCTTAAAGTTCAGATTCAACGTTTTTAAAGTCTGTGTTTGAAATCACACTTTGTGCCCTTGTTCACTGTTCTATACACTAGTTCACTAATAAAGTTCACCTGACAGAGTTAATGAACACTAATGAGTGAATTCAGACACTGATGAGCACCTGCTGTTAAAGGGCCCATATTATGGGTTTTTGAAAATTCCCCTCCATGTAGTGTGTAACACAGCTCTAAGTGAAGTGAAGTATCCAGCTAAGGCTTAAATCTGTAAGAATACAGTGTTTAAAACGGTTGATTCATCTATAAAAGAGTCGACTCATAGTGCTTCAAACGAGTCGCCTTGATACCGACTCATTAGGTGTTTCGCCATGACGTACGAACGAAACCAAGTTATTCACGTGCACGCGCAAACCCGGGAGATTTCAAACCTGAGGCCCCCCCCCAGACACACACAAACATGCCGGTTGATTGAAGTCACACTGCAGATGGATATATTGAGTCTCTACCCAAAGATGAAACCTCAGCATTATAACCAAGCAGTTGGAAACTTCTGGAAGCTACATGCTACAAAGAATACTTCATCTGAGTTTGTTAAAGGAAGGATCAGTAAAGAGTAACTGATGGACGTCAGGATGGGTTTCCTCCATTTCTCAAGTGTAAGTACGTGCGGTTAAAGTTGTTGCCTCGTTTACTCTAGCTTGCAAATGTATTTAGTTGTGATTTGTTACTTGTAACCGCGTGTACTGTATCAGGTTAACTGGATATATTATCTTATCGCGTGCAAAGTCACGTTAAAAACGCGACGCGTGCTGTTTGTTTATGGAGCTCCGTGCTAGAGTTCTGCTCCCGCGATTTATTCGGAAATTTATTCCCGCGCCGCAGAAATCTGGCGCGGGGACAGCCGCGGGAATAAATTTCCGAATAAATCGCGGGAGCGGTCGGTAACGGGTTTAATTTGGGACGGGAGCGGGCTGTCTAGCAATATCACGGATATTGCTATGCGAATTAGAAAGAGAGAGTCTGCTTGGTATGAGAGAGCGTATGAGAGAGAGCGAGAGAGAGAGAGAGAGAGAGAGAGAGAGAGCGAACGAACGAACGAGCTTTGAGCTGTGTGTATGTGTTTATACAGACAGCTTGGCTGTCTGGACTGTATACTGGGTGATTTTTGGTTGTGTTCTCCGCTCTAGCGGGACCGGGCGCGGCGGGCAGAAAACGGAGCGGGTTCTCAGGCTAAAACCTGGCGGGTGCGGGCGGAAGCGGGAGCGTTGTCATCCGGACGTGTGTGTGTGTTTTTGTG